GAGAGAGAGAGAGAGAGAAAAGTTGTGTTTATTTGAAACTGGGTCCTAATATATTAGTCCAAGCAAACCAAAATCGGCAAAGAGACAGGTCCTTTTCATCAGAGACACAAATAGCCTTGACACCCCACATCTGTGCGTGGAGATCTGCAAGGCTGCATAACTGAAGATCTACTAGGTGTTGTTCTGAGTGGAAAGCCCGGGAGCCTCTCCAAGATGTAAAAAAACGTCTTGGCTCATGTGGAAACATAAATGTTCCTCATACTTAACCTCTCCGTTATCAGTGATGTCCTCATCAGTGACAGGAAAGGCATAAATCATGCTGATCTTTCGGACAGCAAGGACCTCTCAGCAAGCAGAAATTTGTTTAACAGGCATTAAGGAGCGTTAGAAAATTTATTGTGAGGACTTAGATCTTGGGCTTTGATTTGTTGAATGGATACAATTTAAATGCAGAGAGGGGGAACAGAAAAGAGGAGCCTGGACACTGCCAAGGCCTGACTTTGAAACTGCTACTGATAAAAATCCAGCAAGAACTTATTTATTTTTCAGTGACTGCTGCTCTCTTCACAGTCTTTTATATATATGTTTTGCCTCTAGAGGGGTCCCTCCTTCTCTGGTTTCTTCTAGTTCCCACCATTATGTCTTGCAGATACTGTAGTTCCCTCTATAATAAAGCTTGACACCTTTCTCCAGCCAAGAACACAGGCCAGTGCAAGGTGGTGCTTCTCTGCGCTAACAGATGCAGAACAAAAACAGAACTTTGACTGGCTTGCATATCCACGGTGTATGTGCCTTTACACGCAACATTACGTGTGTCTTTCTGTTTTTATTTGTGTGTCTGTCAGTCTGTACGAGTGGACAGAAGGACAGCAGTGCACACAGATGGGCAGATGAGTGGTGCAGGAGAGCAGCAGATGCCTGAAGTGACCCCTACTGCCGCCTTTCATTGAACCACAGGCTTCAACACAAAGGCAGGGGTGGCCCCAAACATTAAATACACTTGCTTGTGCCTTAATGCCGGAGGTCACTGCTTTTTTTTTCTCTCCTGTGATCCATTTTTTTTAAAAACTTACCTTAAAAGATTTCTTGTGGAGATGTTTGAAATCACTTGCCAAATGAGAACCAAAACTGTCAAAACGTGTCGTTTAAGAGATTGGTGGTTGGTGGTACTTGGCAGCTGCTGTTTAAGCAGAGACAGATAATAAACCCTGGGCGGAGTAGCTATATTGTAACAAAAGACAAGGGTGTCTCTTCTAACGGGGCATCTGCCCGTCTCCTCCTCTGTGGTCCTGCACACAGCCATCCCTCCCTCCTGTCAGAACATACGGTAACAGGAAGAGAGCAGACACCTCCACTTCACCACAGATAACCTGCTAATTGCATTAAACTCACTCCCAACTGGGCTTTTGAAACATGAGGATGATGTCGTCACTAATGTAGCTGACTTTAACTGCAGTAGAAACATTGCTTTATGTGTGTTTATCATCTTAATTAAATGCATTTGATGAACTCAGAAAAAAGCAAAAACCGTAGTCAACTTGATAGATCTGCTTGGAATACCTGTCCAGAGAAGCCCGCTTTTGTTCTGTTTATTTTCTAAAGGAATGTCTCAGGGTGCCCTTTCACCCCTCCTCATCCATTTACTGCCCCTGGTCTATGTTACAGATGGTGACCCGGGTCCTCGCCATCCCTGATTAACAAGTACGCCTCCTGATTCTCCTGCAAATCTCTGCAGAAAGGAAGATTGTCTTTTTGTATGCTCGCAGTTCATCTTTTTTTTGTTGTTGTTGAGTGTCTCTGTGTGTTTGTGTGAGGGTCTGAATGAGCTTGAGCCAAAAGTAAATTTACTCAGTTAACTCTGACAATGCTTATGTTTGGGAGCAAGGCAAGGACATGACCTCCCTGCCAATTCACATCCATGGAGGCTTGTGGAGAGGAGAGGGAGGGTCATTGACCAACAGTGGCCGGACAATGGCATTCACTGGTCTGAGCACTCGGCCCGCGGGAGAACAAATTAGACCTAAAATGAATGCTTTGACTTGCAATGTCAAAGGAAAAGACGGGAAAGCAGAACTCAAAGCAGCTGCACAATTCTTTCTTTCCTGATCCACGCTTGATCAATGCCCATTAACTTTTTCTCTACATTACATGAAACACACCCACATTTAAAGAGGGAACTGGGTGGCAAAAAGAGGTTTTGGTTCTGCATTGTAAAACGAGACATGAAGGCAAACAAACATGGGTCAGGGGCAATGAGGCAGCAAGACAAGGATCTGACTTTGGAAGGGGGGGAAGATGGTGGGGCGGAGGGTGGCGGTGTTGCAGGAGGACTTGATGGACAACTCCACAACTCGGCAGAGGCAGAGCTTTCACTTAAAAATGGTGCCTGGCCTATCTCAAAAGGTCAGAGCCCAGAACACTAACACACTACATTAATCATGAGAGGCTGCGGCTTACCTGTCTAGCATTTCAGCCGTGCCGTACAGTTAACCTCAATTATGCTTGATTACGAGGTGTGGAAGACGCAGGGACCGGTCTGGACCGTGCAAAAGATCAGGCATCAATAATGCAATTTCAGATTAGATGTGCCTGTCTGTCACTGCAGATAGACAGGGTCAATGAACAGGTAAAAGTGCAAGCTTTCGCATTCACTCATGTGTGTCTTTCAAGAGCTTCACATAGCGCTCCTAAGCTGGAATGAAGCACCAACATATGTACACAGACATATGCATATGAGACAGAAACACATACACCAAAGCATTATGTGGTATACCAAAGCGAGCTAAAGGCTTCATGCTGTCCCAGCCCCCTTCTTGGTAATTGCCCCATTATGTGTTGGTGGTGGATGGAGCCATTACAGATGTTTTATGACGGGGGCCATTTTCATTTTGTCTTCCCAATGAGGGACAGATTTATGGCACAAGGCAGTCTTCCATTCAGGAATAAAAAAAAAACCCTCACCACCGCATTCCCTAATACACAAACACACACGCTTATGTTTACAGACACTGAAAGAGAACTGCATATAAATTCATTGCATTATCTTTTATATGACTGTCACAACTTTGAGCCTGACCTGCCCTCCCCTCGCCCAGCTCGCTGCAGTGTGCCCACAGCACTGAGTGAGGCTGTTGGCAGCGGCTTATGAGATGAATAAATGTTTGATGGCCCTGTGGAACAAGGCACATTTCCAGGATGGTTGTCAGTCTGTTCCCCAAGAGGGGGTGGGGAGGGTGCGAGGGAGGTTGCTGGGGGAAGATCTCCTCGCAGAGTCGCTGGTCCGTAGGGGGGCAGCAGGTCTCGAGGAAAACCAAGTCTGACACTTTCTCACCAAATGTTATCCTACTGAAAGGAACCATCGTAAAGAGCAAAGTAAACACCAGTTAGCTTTCAGAATTAATCTCTTTTAGCTCGCAGTGAAGTGTTTGAAGTGCTGAAGACTCTTTGGCTGCGTGGTTTCTTTCCAGAGGCTGTTTTGGTGTGGTTCCCCAGAGTTCCCGTTTGGAAATCAAATCTTTAGCTCAGTAGCTTTTATGCCAAGAAAAATATTGGTCATAAATTGGTGCCTGAATAGGCAGGCTAATTACAGGGCTGCGGTCTGAAAAATTTACCCTGCAACTCATGGCTACAATTATTAAGGTTAACAATGGGGACACTGGGGTAGAGATCGCAAAGCTTCAAAGAGCTCAACTCATTCTATGACTTGTTTAATCGACGCAGAGAGACGTTCTGAAATGGGAGTAGGTCCCTGTCTTTGTCAGAAATAGTTTTCCTTTCGTGCACAAACTGTGGAAAGTTGTCAGGTACAAGTCTTTTAACAAACAAGGTCAGCAGAGGAACACTCATTATTAATCATTTACCAGAGTAGCACAAAGAGAGCTGTAGAGACCAGATAGCCCTGAGGACCCAGGGGTTCGTCACTGAAACACTGCCTCATCATGTTACACTGTGATATTTCTAACACCTTGCTCCTATCAGCCCTACCTGACCGTCAATGATTGATTTTCTCATTGTGATGGTCACCTCAGCTCAAGACGGCCTTGTCTTCTCATTCCTGAATTCACCATTTGACTTTTAAAGCAAGCTGTTTGAACTATATCAGGAAATCCAACCAGGGTGGAAATCTTGGAGCATGGATGTGGAGTTGAATGAATGATGTATGGCTGACCATGTCCGAGGTTAGTTCCTGTCAATTCTCTCAAATACCGCTCTTTATTCACTACAGCATAAATTCTCCCGTTCTGGCATGAGGAATGGAGTGAGGTTTGTTTGACCAGATGTAACTTTATCAGGGACTCTCTCTCCCCCTGCTATTCTTGTGTCTCTCACATCTCTTAGCTCAGGCACAAAAAAGTGAGCTCTCACACAATATTTCTGTTTGCTGTAGTCTGACCTCTTTCTGAACTGTGGTAAAGTGAAAGGCACTTTCAGCCGAGGGGAATCGGATGGCAGTAACCATATGCCTTTCAACTGATACAAAGGTGGGAAAGGGGGAGGCCAGGGGTGTGTGTGTGTGTGTATGTGTGTTGGGTGGGGTGGGAGGGGGTGGTTGCATGCTAGGATGAAAAGGAAAGTGCCGTGCTGCATCTTTTTGTGTTGGTAAAGTGGTGGCGGTTTAGGGTCGGGGGGTTTGGGGGAGGAGAAGGGGTGTGTTGGCTGGATGTGGTGCTGAACTCAAGGCAACGTCCGGTTGACTGGCTGTTGAGATGGAGCCCTCTTATGGATGAGTGCAATGAGTAAACAGCATTCCTTTCTCTCTGTCTGACCCTCTCTCCCTCCTATTTTTGTCTCTCTTTCTCGTCTTTCTTATAGTCTGTCTATGTTAGCAAAAGCACTTCACCTCCCAGTTTGTGTCTGCTGTCTGGTGGCCATAGAGCCGCTCTTCATTTGACCTCTGGCTGACCATCAGATGAACAGCTTATGTTCGGTACATTTTAAGAGGAAAATGTGTCACTGTTGAAATAAAATGAAATACAGCCTACAGTCTTTTAATTATATAGCAGAACATTGTTATTTTTTCCCAGAGAAACTAGGTATTGACAGTTGTAAGGGTAAAAATGTTGTATGATTAAAATTGAAAATGGCTTAAAGTTCAGATTACTCTCTCATCATCTACCCTAAAGAGAACCAATACTAACTAACGTTAGCTTTGTTTTAGTCCCTGACACCTCCATGGAATCGACAGCGACAAGGCCAACCCCAGCCTCGGATGAACGGGGGGCTCTGGTCAATATAGAACCTCTGTGTCATATAAACCCTCTATGGCAAAAGTGGCCTCAGAGTTGTCTTTATGGCCAATGCGACAGGTCTCCACACAACAGCCCCCACCTCCCTACCTACTTCCCACATCTCATTTTAAAAAATACATATTCTGGTAAAAATATTAAGATAAGGATATTTTGTATTGGAGTACACATATCCAAGCCAAAAAACATATGGCTACTGTTTGAGATGTCACAGATTCACTGTATATGCCCATGTGAATGTCTGATGTTGTCTTCACTTAGAGGAAGTGACACTATAAAACTTCCAGGAACAGAGCTGGCAAAATAGTGTTCGGCCTCCCTTGTAACTTTTAACCATTTTATACGTCTTCTCACAGTTGGGTCTTATTACTTCTAACATTTACAAATGAGTAGTAGTGTCAGCTTGATGCAGTTCATGATGCGATCTATGTCCATATATAAGTGAAGAGTGGTAGGTACTCAGCACAAACACCAATACTGCAAACATTGGTATAGAACAAAAGGGAGTCATAGCAGTCTGCTGTTCTGGGGAGCTGAGAGGTATTCAATGCCTTGCTCAAAGACACTTGAACAGTTCAGCTGCTGTTAAACTGGTGTTGTCTGGCCTGTTTGTTTAGCCACAAATTCTTTACTTAAAGGGTCACGCCACAGATTTTACAGTTTATCATCGACTGTGTGTGTGTGTGTGTGTGTGTGTGTGGAGT